AAGATCCAAGTTCAGCTTCATCCGTATAGTGTACCAAGTCAAGCTTATTGAAGATCAAGATTGCTTAGGTATATTAGTTTAGATTTATATTATGTGTGTTCAATACTTTAAGCTCAATCATATACACACATACACGTATTTGGTTTTATATATATATAGTCATATATATATATACAAGTTTTGATTTTCAAGTTTAAATATGAAACAAATACATATTTATATATATACATATTTATATATATACATATTTGTTTTCATATGGTTAAGTTATTTTGGTTTAGTTATGTAGATATGAAACAATATATATCTTCATATACACTTTTATTTATTTCATATTCTATTGTATTTAGAAAATATTGTGTTTATAGATTGAAGACTTGTTCACACTATTTTTATATCTTGTATAATGTCTACAAATCCATTCTAAAGTGTTTCCAAGTTGTTTGAACTCGTTTTTGGAAAAATCAAGTTTTTGTTCATGTACGTGCATGTGTCCGTGCATGTTTTTACAAAACAGATACGTTTTCACAATTGGGAAATAAGATTTGAAAATTTTCTTTGTTTACATATTTATTATCATATATACAAATATTTTCCCAAGTTTTACTAATTTTGGAGTTGTTTTGTTATTTTTAATTGAATTTACAAAACCGAGTTTTCAGCAGTTTTTTAGAAACTGTTTATCTGTGTTCAAACATTTATTTCTCTCAACTGGAAAGCGATTTTTCAGAAATTCTTTCTCTAACATGTTCATCTACATGTCTAGAACCTTCTCTCAAAATATAAAAAATTTTGGAATTGATTTACTATTTTTAATTGATTTTACAAAACCAGAGACGCAGAAAAATCAGATCTGCCAGACTGCTACAGTACCCACGGTCGACCGCTACAGTCGGCCGTGAAAGTTACTGTAGCATAACGGCTATATTTTCCTGGTTCTGATTTTTTGGGGATTTGCATTGTTTTTTGGGCTTTTCTTTGACTTTGGGTTGTTGTCTTGAGTTCTTATAAATACCCATCATCCCTCAACACTCAAAAACAACAAGAGAATGTTTTAAAGAGTTTTAAAAAGAGTTTAATCTTGTTTTAAGCTTGTTTAAGGGTTTGGTTTATGAAGAAAGTTTTACAAGAGCTTGAGGAGATTATCAATTGTATTTTGGGCATTCAATCCATCTCTCTCTCTTGTCATCTAGAGAAGTTTTCCTAAACTCAACTCTAGCTTTTATTTATAATTATTTGTTGATCATCATTTCTATTAAGCTAGAATTATATTGAGTTTAGTTTTGATTTATATCTCATTGTTACACACACCCACTTGAGCTTATTGTAATTGCATACATAGTATATTAGGGTTGTGAGAGATTGTAACATTGAGTTGTGCTTAATTGAGTTCTCATCTATTGTAGAGAACAAATTTATATTTGTTACATTGTGAGTGGTGTAAGGTTTTCGGTGAGCTAGAAAACCGAGTGTGTTGTGAAGTTTTCGATGAACTAGAAAACAGAGTGTGAGGAGTGAACGTTGTTCGGTGAGCGTTGAAAACCGACACTGTGAGGTGTAAACGTTATTCGGGTGAGCGTAGAAAACCCGGTTGTGATAGTGGATTTCTCCCCTGACTTTATTTAGGGGTATGACTACTAACGAAGGATCAATTCTTAAAGACACTACCAAAGATAATGATATAATAACACTATTAGAATTCAAGAAAGATCTCTAAGTATGAATGTAGTATATTTCATTAGTAAAATTCTTATTAAAAACCACTAAAATTCTTATTAAAGACCACTAAATATAAAATTCACCTCATATAAAATTCACCTCATACATGTTATTATAAATTGTGTTAATAATATATATCAATCCAAAGATATAACTTACTAAAAAATAAGAGAATAGTACATAAACCAAGCAAATATCCATATAACATCGTAAAGAAAAAATATTATATTTTAAAGCTAATATGCAACGCTCCTTTAGAGTAAGCTGCCAAGATAAAAGTATCTTCATTAAGGCTCTTTATCAATACAACAGAAATTCAAATTACTAATATATACAACCATTATAACATTTAAAAGATGTATGGTCTTAGAAAACCTGCTCTAAAAATCATATAATTAAACCTAAGAACAATTTACCAATATACATACACACTATCGCACCTTTAAGATAACGATAACTACCATTTATAATAGAGTTGAGTAGTGATTCTATGTTTACAAAGGCTACAATAAGAAAGTGGTTAAAGATGTTAATAATAAGTGTCCAGATGATAAATGTTGTAGAATCGCCAATGATTTAGTACCAAGGTTAAGTGATATCCCTTCTTCATGAAAGAAATATATCAAAATTAAATATTAATATTATAATCTAAAGCAATTTGACAATGAATAATTTAATGTATTTAGTTTAAATCCTCATAGAAAATGACACATAGAAAGCAAATGTAATATTATGACACAGCAGAAATTCTTATTGGGTGCACAACAGAAGAATTCATTGTAGAGAAAAAAGAGGTAGCTCCTAACCTTATTTAAGTAATAAATTAAAAGCATAAAAAATTTCATATATATGAAATTAATATTTATTCTTATTGAAATGAGAAAAAATCAAAGTCCGTATTGTCAGAAGTTTGTGTTGAATATAAGAAATATATTCAACTTCTTTGTGAATTTAGACTAGAAGACAAAAGATGAATGAGCCAAAGGAAAAATAACATGCTCCAGTCTCATATCAAAATCGATGTAGACGATGAAGACACTACTACTCTAGAATTAGCTAGGAAAAAGGTAAAGATGAAGAATGATTGATCTCGACTCAATAAAAATAAAATAGAAGTAACAAAAGATAATGTTTTGTGAATTGTTATAGAATAGTTTTATTTTTTAGTAAAATTAGGAACTTTAGAAGGGATTTTCATAAACTATTTTAGTGCTTTCATATGCATATGTGGATGTTTTTATCATATAAAAGTGTACTAGAGTTAGCATTAATCTTCAATTTATGATTTTTTTATTAACCATTTTTGTCATTTTAGCCCATTTTAAATAAATCATCTTGGCTCGTTGGCTTTATTATTCATCTTCCTTTTATAATGTTATTTTTTCAAGTGTTTTTACTTTCATAACACTATACTTCCTCAGGTCAAGCTCGGTTTCATACCGATCCAAATGAAATAAAAATTTAAATTGGCTTTAGATTATATTTATCTCCTGACAATTCAACTATCAACATAAAAATTTAAACTAGATGTAGCATATTCAAACAAACATCAAATAAATAAATAATCAAAGTGTAATCGAGGAACAAATTTTAGTAGAAAATAAACAAAAAATACTTAATCAAAGTGAGGAAAAATTATTATTAAAGAGTAACCGATGAATAAATTTTATTAAGAAAATAAACCAATAATACCTAATCATAGTATTTAACTACGTGCATTGCACGTGCATAAAATCTAGTATGTGTGTGTGTAATTTTTTTCAAATAAGCCAAGAAAATATTTAATTAGCAAAATAGGTAATTTGACTAAAAGTTGGTCTATTTTGCTAACTAAGTTTTTAGGTTTATTTTTCTAATTAAATATTTTTTTAGTCTATTTTATTAATTAAGTTTTAAAAGTGGTCTATTTCAAGGATTTGTCCAATCATATACTCAAACCAAAGAAACCAAACTCACCCGTGCCAGTACAGGCATAACATTTGTTAATTGTTGTTTCATATATCATCAAGACTATTCCAAAAAACGATCACATGTATTTACATGTAAAAATAAGGGTTAATTTTAGAAAAGCTCTATCAACTATGACGGTCGTCTCAGAAAACCCTCTCAACTCTTTTATTTTTATTATGAAAAATCCCCTCGAATTTAGGATTGTAGATACACCCCTCAACTTTTAAAATGTGACTTACACCGTCAACTTTTCTCACTTAACCACTTAAACTTAAAAAATTAAATCTAGAGGAACACATGATTTAAAATAACTATACTACCCCTAAGACATAAATTTTTACCATGTTGTTCCTTTTTACTTTTTAGTTGAAAGTATCAACGATTTTATTTTCCCTCTCTTCTTATTCCTCCATCTCCATTGCTAGGTTTGTTATAAACTCAATCTTTTTTGAAGTGCCAAACTTCTTTTAATTTGTATTTATTCATACTTTTAATGTTTGGAGCAGCCAAAAATTTTTATTTTTATTTTTGAAAATTGGTTTCATTATAAAAAACCATTGCATTGAAGTTTAATATTTTAACTAGGTTGGTTTTATGAACTCATATGGGTTTTTTTTTTCAACCAAGGATAATATTTGAAAAAATTATAAAGATAAGGAGAGTTATATGATACGCTCCATAGTCGAGGGAGGTTCGCTCATAATTTAAAGGCTAAGGAGGTTATCTACAACCTCCTCAAAGTTGAAGGTTTCCTGCATTTAAAATAGTTTGAGTTTTTTTTAGACGACCCCCATAGTTGAGGGGGCTTTTCTTAAATTAAATATAAAAAATAATTAAAATATTATAATGATAAACTAACTAAAGATGCTAAATTAGCTAAAGACTAATTATTAATAATAAAAAAACCCTTAAATTTTAGATGATTAACGGACAACTCCACGTAACTTTGAAAATATCAAAAAACCTCCTTAAGTCTAGGGATTATCATAAAATCCCTTTTTAACTTTAGATTTAATCAAAAACTTCGATGGTTTTGTCATAATTTTTCACACGAGTAGATAAAAAAAATGCAGGTGGATATTTTTTTCAAAAGAAATTATAATTCATACTTTTAGAGTAGTTTTCTGACATCTTAAAGATAAAGTAAGTTTAACTTTCTGATACTTTGAAAGTTTTTTTTTTTCCTTTTTGTCACAATATTTTTGAAGTTATGAGAGGTTATCTCATATTTAGGCTTATTTAAAATTATTTAACATTTTGGTGAAAAGAAATAAAACGGCGAAACACAATCCAAGAATATAAGGTTGTCCTTTACATTTTATTTAATTTTCCCCCCTCACTCCTCAAATCTGTTCTCTTCCACAAATCCACTGCTTGTGGCTGTAGACACTCCCTTTCTTTTTCGGGCTCTGATCAAAAACCCATCTCCCATTTTCTTCTCTCTCTCTCTCTCTCTCTCTCTCTTCTCTCATAAGTTCTCTGCCACACCGAGGTAATTAATTCTTGATTAATTTGTTTGCTCTTTTATTCCATCTTGGGTTTGGGTTCTTTGAAATGGTATTTTCTTTTGTTATTTTCAAGTATTTTCAAGAAAAATTCGGTCCCTTTTCTGGTTATGGTACACAATGTGAACATCTGATGCTTGTTTATCAACCTTTCAGTCTGAGTATTTACATATTTGTTTGCCGTACCTTTCTATTTTTAGTGTTTCTTGCCTTGCAATTGGAGAGGGGAGTGAGTATAAATGAAATTTCAGACAATGAATTAGAGTTGTATGCAGACTCTGAGCAAAGTGGGTTTTGTATATCCAAGATCAGTTACGAATTTTCTGTGCTGGGTTGCTCTAATTTATTGATGATTTTTTTTTTTCCATTGGAGATGGTGGCATTGAGCGTATATTAATGAGGAAGGCGGAGTTGTTTAGTGTAATGAAACTCTTATACTGTTCATATTGATTATTAGGACATGTACCAGCACTCGAGGGTTAATTTTTTGCATTTTTTTTAATGACAAATGGTTATGCAATCACATGGCAAGCAGAGACATGTATTTGTTGCACACTGTTTTTATTAGGAATAGGAGATTTTTCTTTTAGTTGTTGAGGAAGAATCACTTCTCATTTTTTAAGATAGAATCACTAATCACTGTGCTACCATACCACTTTCAAGATGTCAACTAGGGGCGATTGATGATGATAGAAACTATAATTTATGTTCAATACTGACTTTTAAGCTGTACCTGCATAGCAATACACACATAAATACGATCTCTGATCATTGTATTATACGCATATAAGCTCATTGAGTTTAGAAGACTGTAAATACTATTAGGTAGAATTCAGGCCCTTTGTTACTGATTTCTTGATGACGGGGCCTATGCGGGTTTTGGATCAGTTGGATAATTGTTCATTCTATCAAATGTGAAGGGTAAAGGGACAAATACGAGTACTCTGGATAAAGATGTATGCTAAATTTTTCCAAGGGAGTCTTAATATTAAGATAATAATAATAGTCCATTTTCCATTACCAACTTCGATAGTAATAATGTATCTACCTTGTTGGGCCATTTGTCAAACCTCTATGACAACTTCTGCAATATCATCAGTTTTACTACGTATTAGCAGTGGAAATTAATCTAATTTGAAAAGTAAACTTTTTTAAGTTCCTTCCCCTCTCTATTGCAGATCAAACGGTTTATGAAGCCAGGTAGTTCCAAACCTATGGGAGAATATGATATGCAGACGGTCCCCTTGGACTCTGCTACCGAAGATTTAGGAAGACGGAGAATGCAGAAGAAGAAATCGGTTAATGGTTGGTCTTCCAAGGTAATAAACATTTTATAAAGCATCATCAGATTAAAATCCCACATTGTAACTAGCTTTGTTTTTGAAATTCACATATCATACTTGAAAGATCATAGTTTATAATATGTTGCTGTTATCAAACTTTCTTCTTGTCTCTACACGCAAAAGAAGTCATTTTAGGAGCTAAATTAATCTTTGGAATCTCTATTTATATTTGAGATTTGATATTCATGCTACAACTCCTAAAGTTAAACTCAGGTACACATTTAAACAGATATTCTATATTTTAACACTATGATACTGCTAGAAAAACAATTTATTTTCAAGCATCTGCAACTCTTCATAGTTCTTTTTTCTATTTAACAGGAGCGATCTCAAAGTGAAGAAGTTCTTCAACATGCTTCAAAATCTTTAGTCTCCCAAGCCAAGCCTAGCTGCCCTATCTGCTTGCAGGGCCGTAGCTGTCAAGTAGTTCGTGCAAGAACAAAGCGAATGGGAGCTTTGATTGATGATAAAAAGCCTCATGAAGCACAGTCTATTTTCAATGGCCTAGTGGAAGATGGACATAAGCCATCGTTAGTAACATATACTACGCTATTAACTGCCCTCACCAATCAAAAGCAGTTCAATTCAATTCCATCCCTCCTATCTCAAGTCGAAGAAAATGGGTTGAAGCCTGACTCAATCTTCTTCAATGCTATAATAAATGCTTTTTCTGAAGCTGGAAAGATCGATGAAGCCATGAAAATTTTCTGGAAAATGGCTGAAAGTGGATGTAAACCAACAACCAGTACTTTCAACACTCTCATTAAAGGATACGGTATCGCGGGTAAGCCTGAAGAATCGCAGAAGCTCCTTGATATGATGTCTCGTGAAGCAAAGGCAAGGCCAAGTCAGAAAACATACAATATATTGATTAAAGCATGGTGCGATCAGAAAAACTTTAGTGAAGCTTGGAATGCAGTGTATAAGATGTGTGCTTCTGGCATGAGACCTGATGTTGTCACGTATAATACTATAGCAAGAGCTTATGCTGAAAATGGAGAAACAAAGAGAGCTGAGGATATGGTCCTTGAGATGGAGAATGAACTAAGGCCAAATGAACGCACTTTGGCTATTATAGTCAGAGGTTACTGCAAAGAAGGTAAAATAGAAAATGCATTGAGGTGTGTGAATCAGATGAAAGATATGGGCGTGCGACCAAATGTCATTGTCTTCAATACTTTGATCAAGGGATTTCTAGATGTTGAAGATATGGGAGGAGTTGATGAAGTAAGTCAAATATTTAATTTAATCCTTTGATAGTCTGATGCTGCTCTTTTCCCCCTTTTCACCATATAGTATTGTTTTGTTTGTAGAGGGAATGATAGGAAGAAAAGAATAAAATAAACAAAGGTAGGTGCATAATTGTTTCTTTGTTATCAGTGACTTAAAGGAAAAGTTTGGCTTATTTCCCTCTTTTTTTCCCCTCCTCCTCTTGCACTTTACTCTGGTAGCCAAACTCACAAAAGAAATCAATTGATTTTCATTCCTTTTCTTTTTTGAATCCCCATACTGTCTTGTGCAACTTGCAGATAACCCCCTCATATATACCTTCTATAGCACTTATCTCCTCTCAACTCATTTTTTAACACTTTATAACCTCTCAATTCAAGAGAAAATGGAGGTATCTGCAATTTATCCTTTTCAGAATGTCAATACAGAGATGATAAGTGCTAATAAAGTACTTGAGGGGTTGTAAGTGCGGCTTTAGTTATAGATGGAGGGTTTTCCACAATTTACCTTATGGTCTTTGGTTGTTCAAAAGTAATAGGAGAGAAGAAAACTTGGAAGAGAGGGAGAAATGGATCTTTATACTTAATTGGGATTCAACTAATCTGAAAGAAAGAGTACCTTGAAAATGTTTCATCAATTTCTTCTCTGATTCGAATTCTAACTACAATAAAGAAATAAGTTTCTTCAATTAATTTCTTCTCTCTGCTGGAAAGCACCTTAGAATATAAACTGCTATTGAACAAAGAGCTGATGGTATTGTACGCTGTGTTAGGTTTTGGCATTGATGAAAAAGCTAAGAGTAAAGCCAGATGTTGTGACATACAGCCATCAAATGAATGCATGGAGTGCAATGGGTCTAATGACAAGATGCATGGAGATTTTTGACACCATGCTTGAATCTGGCATTAAACCTGATGCTCAAGTATTCAGCATTCTTGCAAAAGGCTATGTACGAGCTCGAGAACCAGACAAAGCGGAAGCTCTTTTAACAGCCATGGAAGAATCTAGAATCCCCCCAAATGTTGTGACATTCACAACTCTAATCAGTGGATGGTGCAGTGCTGCCAACATGGAAAATGCAATGAGAGTCTACGAAAAAATGAAAGCATGTGGGATTTCGCCGAACGTAAAGACATTTGAGACTCTTATATGGGGTTATGGAGAAGTTAAGCAACCATGGAAAGCTGAAGAGATGCTTGAAACAATGAAGGAAAGTGGAGTTACACCAAAGAATAATTGTGTTCATCTTGTTGCTGATGCCTGGAGAGCTGTTGGGCTTGAGCATGAGGCTCGACGAGTTCTTGGAATTGTAGATGATGAGGAGGAAGATTATGAAAAGGATATTCATAACGGTAGTCCAGTTGAAAGCTTGGAGTTTAATCGAGGATGGAACTCGAGGCTTCAGGTTCCGAGTTCTCTTGCTGACTCACCACCTGATAATCTTAGAGCTGTTAATAAATCATCCACGAGTGTTATTGGCTCGTTGAGGTTCAAAGCGAAGCCCCCTTTTGTTTGTTGGAAGCAATATAAGATGCAACATGGGATATATGGGCAGGTTGTGAACTCATGCAAGGTTGTTTTTCTCAGCTGAGAGAAAAACTCAGCTTCAAATTGTACTTTTTGCGCATTATAGTTCCTGTACAAAATACTCAATTTCCTTGAGAGTCTGCCGAGATGTCTCAAATGTACAGGTCGTTTAAAATCAATTGACCAGTGAATTGCTATCTTCATACTTTTATTTTTGAGATTTTTTAGATTGTTAAAAATATTGTTGTTTGATAATTTGAAATGAAGGTTATGCATGATTTTTGCATATATTCCCAGTAGAAATTTCTACAACAGCTCTTGATTCTCTCACAATGCAAACAATGTTGATGGGCTTTGAGATATATCCTCAGGCAACAAATGCACCTTTTAGGTTCATATTTTTTGCTGGACATGAACCCAAGAGTGGTCAATTTCCACTTCTCTCTTGATAAGTTTTCTTCCCAACCATCAAAACAAACCACTCACATTTCTGAAAGAACATCCTTAACTAGGCAACTGGCACTGCAGAAAAAGATGACAACTACTTTCTGCCTTCCTGTCAGAAGAAAATACACAAGTTGCTTTTCTCTATTCACAGTGCAATGATTAGTCGAGATAACAACACATGACTAGTGAATCAATGTCTGTAAATACAAAATATTCCTATGAATCAGGGGAACCTTAAAATGTTTTCTTTCGGTGTTTGCAAAGATCATTTTCTTGTATCCTTGTCTTTTATTGTCTTCAAATCTTCTCCGGCACTTGGAGAAGGAATTTTACCAATAAGGAGTACTAGGGCAACACCGATAAGAGCACCAGAGAGATGAGCAATGTGATTCACATTCTGCAAAGCGGAGCCCCTCATCAAAGGACCAGCAAGCCCAGTTGATGCTTGTGCAGCTTCCATAACCTGTTAACAGCGCAGCAGTCAGATCAGCCCTTTCCAGAGTTGAGAACCAAAAATTACAAATCTACTTCAACTTTCAAATTGAAATGCGCGCAGAGACTTTGTGCAGTTAGCAAAGAGACATTCTTGAAGTAAATAGGAACAGGTGATGCATTTTGCCTCTTCATCTAAACATACTCAAAAGTACTTTCCTAGCCTCAAGAATTTAATAAGATTTTCCATGAGGAATGATTCATCACCGACATACAAACTAAGCCAAATACCAAAATGGGACACACTTTACACCATATGTTACACCTTTTGTCTCACTTATTTTCCCAACCAATCTCAATTTCTAAAACATAATGTATCAAATTGTAATGGAACGAATCACAAACCGCAAATATTGTGTAGACTGCATAAGACATTCCATATAGTTCACATTCGATATTCTTTAGAAATGGATAGCAATATCCATTGTGAATGTTAAGAGTGGTATTATTTTTTAAATCCTCTTTAGAAATTTGTGGCCCATAAGATTTGAACCTGGATTGCTCTAATATCATGGTATGAGGGAAAAGATGAATTGATCCCAAACAGGGTCAGTCTTCTTTATTATTATGTAGATGGAGAAACAGTTAAGAAGTACAAAGTACTCCCATTGTGGGACTAAACAAAACTCTAAACTAAATACCACTCTAATAGCAAACAATATTGATTCACTAGCAAATTTAAAGAGGGATACCTTATCAATGACAAATTGACCAAGGATAAGAACCTCAAGGATCTTCCTCCAATCCCACGACATCTACAAAATTTACATTCCAATGTATTATTTATATACTGAAACCATCCATTACTTTGGCAGACATATAGGTTTACCACACCTTAACAAGGACACTTATTGCAAAGAGTCCAAAAACAGCACCGGAGGCTCCTACAGATACCGCTGCCCTTGGAAGGACTAACCATGAGACAACGTTTGCTCCAGCACCCGTTAAAATGTAAGAGATCCACAATGCAAAATTACCTTCCTCCTCTTCGACAAGCTTTCCTGGTTATAAACAAACAACACTAGAAAAATGAGTAGAAGTTTAAATTCAAAGACTGAGGATAACTATGACATAAAGGAGAATAAGAGATCTTACCAAAGATATATAGAAAGAAAAGGTTGCTTGAGAGATGGTTCCTGCAATTTTATTGGCAACAAAGTTAAAAAAAAAACTGTTATTAAACAATTTATGGAAACGGTATTCAACCATAAACAAGAACTGAACTATCGTTGTAAAAAAATGGCTGCTTATGTTTTCTTTCCCATCTTAGTCCCTCAAATCTTTAATATTTTGAAATTAGTTCCTCAAACCATTTAAATTGCTATTAGGTTAATCAATTCTAAAATTTCTCAAAATTAGTCCCTCAAATCATTGAACTGTAATTAGGTCCACCGATTCCTATAAGTTGGCTCAAAATCAGTCCCTCAAATCATTGAATTGCTATTATGTCTCCCGCTTCTTATAAGTTGTTTCAAATTAATCCCACCAATCAAGAATCGAATCAATAAGATGTAGGCTTTGGGGATCTAATAGCAGTTCCAATGCTTTAAAGAACTTATTTTAAAATATTAAAGATATAGGGGACTAATGTCAAAGAAAAACTTGTTGCTCATGACAATCTCTGAAAACTTACAAGAGCTCACCAGTTTGCATGGCAGAAGGTTGCGGTCACAAACTGATACCAAGATGGCCAACTGTGGTACAAGTATAGAGCTTTGATTTCTCTCATCTAGACAAGAAAACAATCACATACAGACAACCCATCAATATCCTCAAAATTAATGATGAGAAAACTATTTTGATATACAAAGTTCTTGATGAAATGATCTCCCTTTTAAAATTATCTTTCTTAAGGAATTAAAAGGAGAGGAATATGAGATATGTGATATTTTCTCGTTAGCTTGGTTTGACTCTCGTATAGGCATCAACCATCAAGTTTATAAAGGTAGCGAAATTTTGAAAATTGTGATTAAAAGGAGAGGAATATGAGAAAACTATTTTGAAAATTTTGAAAATTGTGATTAAAAAAAGAGAAAATTTCAGATGAATATGGGGAAAAGGGAATGTGAAATTGTACCTGGAACAGGTGATCTGCCACATAAATGCCAAGGTTAAGTAAAAGAATCCAAAATATCCCATTTACACGTCTATGGCCCCTCCTTTCTTCAGGCCTCCCAAGTTCCAATTCCGATATCATGTCTGAAGAATGCAACATGTTTCTTTAATTGAATAAATTTGAATCCTAATGACAATTAAAGAGAACGGACAAGCAGTTCTCATTTACTGATTAGAAGACAGTTTACTACTAAATCTGACGACTCTTCCGCTGCATTCACCATCTTCTTGTCAAGAAAGTATCTAGTGGTCTCCGTTCACAGCATCAGTGATGTACCAAGTGATATCAATCCTTGGATGACTGAACTTAGACGTTTACACACCAATTCAAAGTTTGATAAACCTTTGGTGCCCCCATTACAAGGTTGCAGTACATTGTGCCCTAGCCATGCACATGGAGAACTCCTCATTTTCTCCAAAATTTCTTAAAAAACAGTCCCCCGTCATTTTTTTCGTACTAGAAAATAAATATTCATACATCACCAGAGAAGCATGGGTTCAACACAAGATCAGCAAGCAATGTTCAAAAGTTCAAATGTTTTCGTCCACATAGATATGTTGAAGAAAGCATTGCATTCAATGTTCAGTTTCTCATTCCCTTATGTATTGCATGTTTCCATAGTTCCCCTCATTAAACTTTCTCTATAGTAGTAGGGCTCCAATCAAATTGTCCATGGTAGAAATCGAGTGCCTCTAGGTCTAAAAACTAAATAGTCGAAATGGGTCAACTGCAATCACATCAATTTAGAGCTAAAACACTCAAGTTGATTCTCCCAAGTCAAAATTATTACTCAAAAACAAATAACAAACAAACCCATTTAATTTAACAAAGTAATTACTGAAGGGACGCACACGTAGATGAAATAGAAACAAAACCTGATCTTTTATTCATCCTACAGAGGAAAACTCCGTGTGGGCCCAATGAAAGAGGAGCAATGATGTTGAGTTTGGGGAAGATGGAGCTCCTCGTTCCAGCTAGGCCCATGGGCCGCCGAGAAAGAGGGAGGCCCTGTGAAGGAAGGCCCAGAGAGGAGGAGGAAGCAGGAGAAATGGCGGAGCAGCAGCAGAAGCTGACCCTGGTTGCGGCCGGCTACTGCCATTGGGGTTCTTTTTTTTTTTTTGGGCAAGTTGTTCTCAGTCTAGCTTTTTTTTAAATAATGAAAAATATTCTTTGTCTATAAGAAATTAAACTAAATTACCGAAACACCCTTAACATTTTTCTTGAAAAATACATAAATTCTGTTTTTTTTTTTTGGGACTAATGGGCCAAGACTATAAAAATACGCCATTGTTTTTTTTTAAGATTTTAATAAATTGAAAAAAGTTTTTTTTCCAAATTCAGCAACAATCCATACTTTGATTACATACTTAAGAAAACAACTTAATTAGAATGTAATATATTTAAAATTTTATTAAATTAGGGACATCAAACTTTTGCCCCTATTTCCTTCAATCAATTTCAAATCTTAAATTCTATTTCATCAATGAATTAGAATAGATGGTCTTGAACGTGCTCTCTACATAGGGGGTATAAAATAAAACGAATCAAGAAAATTCTTTTGGTTCGCTTAAAAGTTGGTTGTTTTTTAAAATGAATTTAATTTCTAGTTAAATAAGAAATGTTTTCTGAATTTCTTTCAGAAAATGTTTACTGAAATTTTTTTCCCTTTTCCCTCCTATAACGAAAAGGCTAGAAGTGTAAATCCACCAAAATCCTCCCCATCCTTAACCTCTCTGTTCTTCTTCCACCTGTCTCCTTGCTCCTCAGTAAATGGAGGGAGTGGGACTGAAGCCCAAGGCTCAAGCTGAACCCTCCACGCTGCTCTCAGTGGAAAAGCCCCACTAACGAATCAATGGCTTCTCCAATCCTCTCACCTCTCAGAGCCTTCGAACTCCATAGCTTCTTCTTCTCTCCCTTCTCTCTTCTGCTAAGCCCCCATGCAATCAACATATCTGACAAAGTTCCTCAGAGAGACCCTATCCCTTTGCGTTCTTCTCTGAACTCTCCCCATTTGGTCTCTAATGAGAGAAACCCACCTCATAGAAAGCAGAGGAAGAATGGGTCTCCTCAAATGGGTCACTCTAGATTATCTTCTTCAGAGTCTAGAAATGGAAACAAAAGGGCAGATTCTGTGGCTGTTGACAGTTATGAGAGAAACCCATCTCATTATAAAGATAGGAAGCGGAGGATTGGCTCTCCACAGATGGGTCACTCTGGGTTTTCTTCTTCTTCTTCTACTTCTTCTTCGAAGTCTAGAAATGAAGACAAAAGGGTAGACTCTGATAAGAAGAAGAGTAGTAAGAAATCTAAGAAGACTAAGGTTGGTTCCGAGGAGGTTGGGTTTAGAGTTAAGCTTGATATGTGCTCAAAGGGTGGGGATGTGATGGGTGCTATTTCACTGTATGATTCAGCATTGGAGGAAGGTATCAAGCTTGGGCAGTATCATTATAATGTGCTACTTTATCTCTGTTCTTCAGCTGCCATCGGAGTCATCCACCCCGCAAAGAGCGGAAGCAGTGCCAGTGGAAGTAATGGTTACGATAGAGATTACTCGAGCGATGAGGATTCGGATAATGGGCTGAGTTCAAAATCTCAGCTTTCAGCTCCAGTGAATGGTAGTATTAGTTCTTCAATCCATGTAAGCGATGATGTTCGAGTCTATGCGAGAGCTAGAGGGCTTGAGATCTACGAACACATGCGATCACAGAATATCCTGATGAGTGAAGCAGCATTAACCTCAGTTGCTCGAATTGCAATGTCTATGGGTAATGGAGACATGGCTTTTGAAATGGTAAAACAAATGAAGGAATTGGGTATAACCCCGAGATTGAGATCTTATGGTCCGTCTATATTTGCCTTTTGCAATAATGGTGATGTTGATAAAGCATTTGAGGTGGAAAAGGACATGTTAGAGTCTGGAGTCTCTATCGAAGAGCCTGAATTGAGAGCACTTCTGAAAGCAAGTTCAAATGCTCGTAAAGGAGGAAATGTTTACTACGTAATGCATAAGCTAAGGACTAATGTGAGACAAGTATCTCCATTGACTGCAGATTTGATTGAGGATTGGTTTAAGAGCTCAACTGCTTCAAGAGTAGGAAAGAGGAAATTTGATGAAAGCATGGTAAAAAAAGCTATGGAGAATGGCGGAGGGGGTTGGCATGGACTGGGTTGGTTGGGTAAAGGAAAATGGGAAGTTTTACGTACTAATGTTGATGACCATGGTGTTTGTATGGGTTGTGGTGAGAAATTGGTTACTATAGATCTTGATCCAATTGAAACCGAGAACTTTGCTGCGTCGGTAGCATCTATAGCCAGTAAGAGGGAAAGAAACTCAAGCTTTCAGAAATTCCAAGTAGATTATCTGAACTCTTAAATATTTCAATTTGTTTTGTTGGCTTTATTTCTTAGCTCCTGTTAATCGATGTAGAGATGGTTGGACTACTACGGCCCATTTGAAGCTGTTGTTGATGCTGCAAATGTCGGTCTTTTTAGCCAGAGGCAATTTTCGTTAATTAAGGTTTGATAATGGGATCATAAAATTTTTGTTAGCCTTTTAATTTTATTTGTTAAAGTTTAAGACGTATCTTTTATTCTTATTATAGGTTAATGCAGTAGTAAATGCCATTAGACAGAAACTTCCAACAAGGAAATGGCCTCTGATCATAGTGCATAATAGGCGATTGCTAGGACGCAAGATGGGTCAACCCTTAAATGAGAAACTAATTGAGAAATGGAAAAATGCAGATGCTATTTATGCAACTCCAACGGGATCAAATGATGACTGGTGAGCTTTTTTGTTTCAGAAAATTCTATCAAACTTGACTCTTTAGTTAGCGCGTTCCTTCTCGCATAGTACCTGTGCCACAGAGCTAAGTGATCAAAATTTTCATCTAGTTGTTGATTTGTCGATAATACACATGAATTTGTTTGCAAGGTTGGTGTCATTAAGGACAAGAAAGAAGAAGGAAGTCCTACCCTCTTGTGTGTATTAGATAAAAACCCTACCCTCTAGTTTGTATTAATTACAAACCAGAAATAGTAAATTAAGAAATTTCAATGCCAAGAAACTTACAAAGAGAATTCAAAAAAGTCGAATTTACATAGGAAATCCTTTAAGGGCAAACCACACTACAAAAATATAAAATCAACCACTCGGTCAACCAAAGTACAGTATGCATGTGGACTACTAGAGCTATGGTTAAGGTTTAGGCATATTTATATGTCCTGTAATCTTTATATAAATATAGGGGAAAATCAAGGTAGGGAATGTCAACTTTTCTGAAATACTTGCTGCCGACTGGTTTGAGTCGCTGTGCATCCTAGAATGCTGAACTTAAAATAAGATTCGGCTTACTTCAGTGCAAGGATCCCAAAGCCGAATTGCTCCAAGGAACCCGAACTCGAGCCCAAGCCCATTGCAGAACCTGAAGGAAAACAAATGCTGATACATGTTTATGATATTTTTTTGTCGATTTAACTCCTCAGAAGCATGTATATTTTCTCCATTTGTATTCTATTGCTTCTTTAAATTTTATATTATCTATGCCTTGCAGCATCCATCACTTTAGATAATAACATATGGTCCAGGTACTGGTTGTATGCAGCTATAAAATGCAAAAGCTTGATAGTTACCAATGATGAGATGAGAGACCATGTCTTCCAGATCTTAGGAAATGATTTCTTCCCCAAATGGAAAGAAAGACATCAGGTAAGTGCACATTGTCCAGCATATGTTTCTTTATAGGCTTTTCTTGCATATACACCCTTTAAGTCATGCATATTTGCAAAAGTACTTCTAAGTCTCAATATTTACAAAAATATTCCCCAAATCATCAACTTAGGAAGAAACACACTGAATCATCAACTTAGGAAGAAACACACTGAATCATCAACTTAGGAAGAAACACACTGAATCATCAACTTTGATAGGCTAATTTAGTAATTTGTAGCTGCGATGTAAAAATATCAACAAAATAGTCAAATATTTACTCACCATATCCAATAGCATTGATGATTTGTTGATTTGGTTTTTTTTTTGTTGCAAAGTTGATGATTTAGGAAGTAGTTTTGCAAATATTGAGATTTGGTGGGTATTTTTGCAAATATGGATGATTTAAAAAACCCTTCTTTATATTAGATGAGTGGACAAAAACTATGTTTACTTAACGTAAACAATGAGAATAAAACACCAATAAATTTTCCTACATGTCCTTACAAATTTGTACTCTGAAAAATTACCAATATACAAACTTGCACCTCTCTTCTCTTTTTAACTGCTCTCCTATATGTGCATTCCTGTGAATGTATGGATGTTTTAATAACATGCAGACAAGTTAATCAAGATTAGAATTTTCATTTAAAGGAATGTGAGAATAATTATGATTCTTCGTTCTTTTACAAACAAAATTTTTGACCTAAGCCTTTGGGAGTGGCTAATAAAGACCTGACTAGGTTTTACGCTAGCGATCCTCTGCATAATGCAACCCTACTCCTGTATCCTTTTCTATCTTAAAAATATGTTAGTAACTGTTCCGGCAAGTCTTGTACTGTTTCTAGTTTGAACTTTAACAATCTTACTGTTTGCAATTTCTAGTGTAGAGCTCTAATACTTAATGGAAGATGTTACTTTCTGTAGTCCTTTTATTTTCCAATAAATCACAGTGAATGCATGAATGGAACACCCTTTTACCCTTTTCAGGTGCATTTCAGCTTCCGTGATGGCAGTTTTGAGTTTCATATGCCCCCTCCCTGCTCTGTTGTGATTCAGGTGTGCTTTGTATCTAGAAAAAAACTGTAACGTTTTTTATTGTTGCAGATAGGAATAAATACGAATTAAATTTTTTTGACTCTTTTACCATCAGAGAAAGTAAAAACTGTTTTTTTTTTTTTTTTTTGACAAAGAGACCTCCTGAAAGGTAAAGAAAAAAAGGGGAGAAAAACTTACGGGGTCTCTCTGCAACAATAACTATTGGGGGTCTATCTACGAATGGGCGATAGCAAAGGGGGTCTATCTACGAATAACAATACAAAATATGTTGTTATTTTACAATGAGTCAAAAGAAGCATCTGATAAATATCAATCAAGTAGTGTCAAAAATTCTCACACATATCTGATATGGATATATCTCCTTTACAGTATCCACGCTCCACATATTGAAATATTCAAAAATCAAATCAGCATGTCTAAAATTTTGCTACTTCCAGCAATTTATTTACCCTATCAAATATGCAATGTTTGGTTGTTTTCTTCAAATTTTCCATTATAACTCAGGAATCAGAGAAAGGCCATTGGCACATTCCTATTTCAGAAGAACATGGATCAAGTCAAGAGAGGACCTGGTTATGTGTCACACGTGTGAGATCACATGTGGCCTCCCAAGATTCATCGATTCCTCTTGAAGGTGAATAAATCTTTTAGCTCTTTTCAAGAACTTCCAGTCTCATGTTTTCTAATCATAATGAGGTTGACTCCTGAGCACGACTCTTATTACGTTGAAATGATCCAATAAATAACTAACCAAACCTTTGTAAATGATCATCGATTTTAGATCAACCCTCAACATGTTGGTGCAATATGCAGAAGAGATTAGATGGCTGACAGGTCTACCCTTTGCATTATAGCAGACATTAAGCTCAATGGCCTTCCAAATCATAAAGATAAGACTATTATTCTTGGTATAGTGGCAGGGACTTTAAGAGCTACATGTGAACTTTTTGTATGTGGTTGACTGGAACAGCTCTCATTGTGGGTAACTGCTAAAAGTTTCTACATTATTGACTTGCATTAGTGTAAAAGTCTACTTTAAGATTAGAAATCGCATAGATCATGTAGTAGTAGATGCTAAAACGGTATAGAGTAAATTCACATATTATTTTGAAGGATGTCTTCTGATATCTTTAAGTAAGAAAACCACCTACTCATTTCTTTTCCTTTTCTGAACAGAAGCACGTCGAGAGAAAGAGACGAAGAGAAGTGCTTCAGATGCCCAATATAGCAGCGGTCCGAGGCGAATATCCCACTCTTCGAAGCCCCGAAATAAGAGATTCATTGGAGAATGTCACAAGCCTCCAGCCTACATCAAATCTCCAAATTTTCATACAATTCTTAGTGATATTGAGGCTGCAGAAAAAATTGCAGGCTGTGTTATAGACTTCCAAATTTAACAGCGACCACACAGATAAAATTCCAAGGGAAAATTAATGGACATGTTTCATCTGATAATTCTTTTCTTCTTCTGTTTTTGTTTCTTTTATTGTTCCTTTCTTTCTTCCTACAATGGTTCTGTTTAGTTGCGCTGCCATTATTATGGTAATACAACCTTAGAAGAGCTTATTCATCTCGATTAGAAATGATAAATAACTTGTGATAACTTCGTGCAGAAACTCTTTTACCCTTAAAAAATTCGGACAAGAGAATTAGTTCTTATCACAAGATAATTCTATGTAACAAGCAGACTTCTATTCACGAACATAAATCTCAAACCACAACACTGCACATCTTCCGAGAACAACCCGCATGCAAGCGAGTCGTCTGAGCCGCTCATGTGATACGTAGGGCGGCATTTTTATCCCTTCATGCCCCCGTGTGCTACTCAGACGTAAATCTCAAACCATAAAGCTAGGAACGCACATCTCCTCAAAACGATCCGCATGCGAGCAAGTCATCTTAGTCACGGATTGAGATCTCTACTAATGGATCCTCTACTAATATCTACTAATAAAGAGATCTTAGCCTTTGATTTATCAATCAAAGACTCTACTAATGGATCCTCTACTAATATCTACTAATAAAGAGATCTTAGCCTTTGATTTATCAATCAAAGACCAAGATCTCATCCTTATCCTCCTTATCTACTAATAAAGAGATCTTAGCCTTTGATTTATCAATCAAAGACCAAGATCTCATCCTTATCCTCCTCCTACTTTTGCTTATGAGGAGATCTTGGCTTTTGATTGATAAATCAAAGATCAAGATTGCATTAGAATATATTAGAAAGCTCCTCATTAGTAGAGGATCCCAATCCTGTGTGTTCCAAAACTAGAAGCTTTTACAATCAGTGGGCATTCATCAAGTGCATTATTGTAATAGCTAAAACAAAGACAGTTGTCAACAGAAGAAACAAACATTCATATCTCAAGACTGTTTCCCTCAAGAACTCAAGCTGATACTGAACTGAAAACTCAGTACCAATGATGCAGTTTTGTATCTCATTAAAATGCAGGTTGTAAAACTTTGAATCTCTGTTTAACAGCTTCATTATTATGAAGTGAAAAAGAATAAGAAAAAAGAATAGGAAAAAATGACCAAACATTTTCCGTCACAGATATCGAAAAAAACTGTCCCCTCTTGAAGCTCAAAACCACAAAAAACAAAATACATAGAATAATTATATAGTTCCTCTATTCACTGCTACCTACCCTCTCTAGCTGAACATATACATCATAAAAATCAACACAAAATATACAAAAAAAAAAGTGGACGTAAGACAAGAATATGCATTGAAAATCACCAAATTATGACAAACCAAAAGAATTTTAAATCAAAGCAGTCAGATGATCTGCTCACTGAGTCTACTGGCTCCCAACTTTATTAACACCAGGTTTACTAGTCTTGGATCTGGCCATACTAAGAAGATCACCAAAAAGCTTATCTTCAGGCTTCAATGGCTTGTTAGTCTGCTGAAGAGAAGAGGTAGAAGAGGGAACATGGTTGTATGAAGAGTTTGTGCTCCTATATGCGCTGTTGTCTTGCATCGACAGGCCATACATTCTTTGTGAGAGCTCATTTGGGTTTCCATAAGGGTATGAATTTGCCCTTGGATCATAAAATTGGGCATTTGGCTGTTGTCCATACCCATAATCTATCGTCATTTGACCTCCATACATGGCATGGTGCTGTGGTATCATCATTTGACCTCCATACACACCTCCTCCTTGGTTATTCTGCATCATGGAAGGCTGCATGCCGATATATTGGGCATTTTGTAGAGGTTGAGGTTGCATTCCTCCAAACTGGGTAGTTTGCATAAAATTGGGTTGCAAATTTCCTCCCATCTGGCCATTTTGTATAGTTTGTGAATCCTGGACAGAGTATCGGTTGTTTTGAGCTGGTTGAGCTTCCCAAGGTGGTGGAGGAAAGGCTCCATTCTGGCCATTGCTACCACCTGTCAACGTAAATAATGTTGCAGATAACAATGAATTACATTGAAGTTTTTAAACATGGCGCAAGTAAACGAAGGTGTTGATTCTAGTCAGAGCAGAAAAAGTTGCCCTCAAGATAACTTGCCCATTGAGAGATCACATAACGTTCCAACATTCTACATTACATGTTATCTTTCCAAGCAGCCAACCAAATTTGCAAAATAAGTTATTATATTCTTGCTCAAAGAAGTGGAGGTACAAGAATCTGAGGTTTTATAGAAATGCTACTTCATTTTGAAATATATGGGCTGAAACTGTAAGTACCAAAATAGTAAGGAATTGCTTGGTTGGCGACAATGTGGCACCGGAAAAGTAATGAAACAGCACAGGATATTTTCAAAACATGCAGAACTGTCACTGAGAGAAGGGGGAAAAAATTGAATGTCTTGATCTCATGAGCTCCCAGATTCTCCTTACCGGAACACCTAATTTACTACAACTCTCAGTGGCAGATCTACAAAGTGTTCTGTGGTGTCATGAGACACTACAGGTTTGCCTAATTTATAATTATTTTATTTATTTTTACTTGTCATTTACTACTTAGGACACCATTAGGATTAGAATAGGAAACCACTGAGGATAAAATTGTAGAATCGTCAATGTATTTACTTTTACTTGTATTTACCAATTATACTTTTAATTTAATGAACTGACAAATTAAATGACACTGCAGTGATAAAATCCTGGATCTGTC